AAGGACCGAGCCCTGTGGGACCCCACTTCCCACGTCCTTCCAGGTCGAGAAGGACCCATCCACTACCACCCTCTGGGTGCGACTCTCTAACCAGTTGGCGACCCATTGGACTGTATGGGTGTCTACGCCACAGTCCCCCAGCTTCCTAATGATTCACTGTTCTTCACACCACAGGTGTTAACAATTGTATCTCCTTTTCAGTCATTTTAAATATTCTAAGAATCAAGCTAACCTTTGTTATGGAAATTTTGCTCTCTTCTAGCTGCTTCTCATCTCTTATTTCTCAACCCTGGGGACTCTTGAGCTCTTCTCAAAATTATAATGAAGACCAGGGTTCAACACCAGCTAAGATTTCAGCATTTAGTTAAGCAGGGAGGGGAGGGTGAGAGAGATGAAGATTAGGCCCCATCCCTGCTCTATGCAGCCATAACAAAAATCACATTTTTTTCCCCCTCTATTCTGTCTTCCCAAAAGCATGTCTTATTTGGGAGCATGCTATACCCAAGAAAATACAGCATGTGGCTGTCTACCAGTCCGTTCATTTACTTTCAAATGCAAAGGCAGCAGTTGTCTTATAATATTAGTCTGTCCTTTAGCAAGAAACTGCAGTGACTAGCTCTATTTCCCAAAAGTGAAAAATAGAAACAAGGTTCTCTTTTGAAATGACTCAGTAAAAACCGCTCTTTGCCCATTCTAATTTGGTTGGCACTATAACCATCCATTAGTCACTACAGATTGAGAAATATCAAAAGACAGATGTAAAACAACTGAAATCACATAAATGCTACTTTCCACTCTTACGTTTCCAGCAGTTGCAAATTTGTGGTTTAATTTAAACACAATGTGTAAGAGAAAAAAAACACACAAAACCACAGCTTAGCTTGTGATTGTTCTCTTCTTGCAAAACTATGCCAAACTAGCTTGAGCTTCTTCCATACGATCAAACAAAGTGGTGGCCTCAGTAACTCGCAATCTCAAGACTACCATGCTTTTTCCAGAGTTATTTATCACAGGGGGAAAAAAATGTTGGTATAATTGTCCCTAAGCATGAGTATGGGCTACACATCTCAGCTTTGAATTTCACCCATAACGGCATACAATGACCTAGTATAGATTGAAGTTAGCTCAAAAAAAAAGGAACCATGCTCACCAAGTTTGATTTTTTTAAGGCAAGATTTAAAAGCACTAAAATAAATTGGCAGAATCCTACCTATGACACATTGTAGATTTGTCTGAACAAACAAAAGGATTTTGCCCAACCAGGAATGCGAGCCAACCTACTGAAGCCTATAAGCATCGTAAAGAAAGCCACTGTTTAAGTCTTCATCTGTACATTGTTTGCATCACTGTGGCTCAAATTTCCAAAAAACCTCTCTCTCAAAAATAAGACAACCATTAAAAAGAACGTTCATCATTAATTTTAAACAAGACACTGTCCAATACTTTTAAATATTGGTGCCAAAAGTTACATATGAACTTAAATGCTTCACTCTTAACACAGCTATGCCTGAAAA